AGATCCTCTTGATTTTGTCCAATGGGCTGAATACAGTGGCTTCTCCTCCTTTTTGAGGGTTGGGCGGGCCTTACTAACATTAATTATGTTTAATTTACTTTGTGTTGAATTTTAGTTTGATATTGGATTCATCCTCCTCCCCTCTCATATTTAATCATCCATAGAATTGTATATATGTATTTTATTATCATTAAATTTGTAATATCTTGGGGTGCGTTTTTTCTAGGTCCACCGGAGATAATGTGGTATTATGGTGTATGGAGGATTGATTGGTGACGGACGAATTTTTATGGTGAATGCAAAAATTGTAGTCGGATTAGCTAGGTATAAGATAGTTAGTGATGACCAGCCTCAACCCCTCACCTTTATCGGCCTTGTGTCATAATTACGTATTTTTACATAATAAATATCGTGAGTTTAACAGGTTGTCCCAACGCAGGTTTCTTTTATGAGCGTAGATGTAGGCGTTTAGATTTCTGGATGTTTCACCTATGTAGCTCTTCTGGCATTGCAGGCGTTATATTATAAATCCCGGCATTTGGTGGTGGATCTATTTTTCTTGCTAACTAGATCTCTGATCATCTTGGAGGTGATGGCAATGATCTTAGTTTTGGGGATGAATAGCTTCTTCACAGATTTTATCAATAAAATGTTGGAGAGTAGGATTAAAAGTTTATTTTTTTGTTTTAAGTTGTTGGTGTTGACTATTTTTTTTAAACTTTTGGATTTTGTAACATCGTTTTTTTAATGTTGAGGATAAAATGATATGTGTAATGAAGAAATCTAAATGTTATGCAACGTATATCTATTCTTCGTGTCGGTTTTCTGGGTTGTATATTCTATTATCTACAAGCTGCAATTGGTAAATTGTCGCCATTTTATATTTTTAATTTTGCGCATGCGCGTTGTTTGCTTCGAGAACTTGACACTCTCAGGACATATTGAAGATAAAAGGGACAGTTGGCGGAAGCAGGCCACTTACTGAAGAGGTTATACGAATGGATAATGAAACGGGGATGGGGAAGTATAGAAAAAGAACAAATTTTAGTAAGTGTTCATCAGACTCTGTAGTACTCCTTTTTGTATAGGCTCTGTATATATGTATATATCTTTTTGCATTTGGAGGTTCATATCACAATTAGAGGTACATTTAACAGTCAGAGGTACATAACAGATTTGTTGAGAGGATGAATATAATACATATCTCCAACAGTAAAAACTATTTAAAAATGTTGGAAGCTCCTATTATAAAAAAAAAAAAACTAACCTTTCAAATTCAGAAATTAAGAATGAGCCAACTTTCAGTAAAGTTTGTGCTTTCTCCACTAGCAATTACAACCCTTTTGTCATTGTTATCGATCACGTTTTTGGGGCTTGTTGCCGAGTATTGTGGTGCTCATCGACCTTTCCTTTTGTGGGAAATACTATTAGGTTGGTGCAAAAATAATGTCGTTTTTTGACGATAAGTTGAACGTCAAAAAACGACATTATTTTTGCGCCAACCTAATATGTTGAAGAGACATTCGCGGCCACAACATGGTAAGTTAAGAGGGCTCAGGGAATGAAGCGCTCTGGCTTTTCTTTGGGCCCTCTTCGTCTCTTCTATTTGTCATCTCGTGTTTTTGAAAGAAGTGTTTTTTTTTCATGGACTTCTTTCTATCTTTTTATGTGCTGTGTTTCTTGAGGACGTAAGCGATCATGACTCTCCTCCCTATACCTTGTAGCTCTTAATAAGTTCCGTCCCTCTGCCACCTCCCTCAGACCACGTTCCCTTGTCTCACTTTCCCTCTATTTAACCTGTGAGTATCAGATTCTCCAGGCCCTCCTTTCTCATTATGTGTCCTAGAAATTTCAGCTGCCTTTTCCTGATGTTAAGTATAAGCTTCCTTCTTGTTTGCATCCTCTCCAAAATCACATCGTTGCTGACACGCTCGGTCTATGATATTCTCAGCATCCTTCTGTAGAACCATGCCTCCTTTACCACTTCTTCATCTTTGAGGAGACTGTCCAACATTCTTTGCCGTAAAGGAGGACAGATGTCATGTAGCAGCTCGGTATTCTTTTCTTTTTACCAAAGAAATCCTCCTGTTTCATAATATTCTGCCTAGCTTTTGGAATGCGCCCTTGGCCATCCCAATAGGTCTTCTGATCTCAGTATCGCACTTACCGTCCTTCGTCAAAGCACTTCCCAAATATTTAATCTTCCGCACCTGCTTGATTTTAGTGTCCTCGACCTGCAAATCGCATTTCAGGCTCATCCTTTTATGGACTGCTCTTTCAAATTGGTTCTTTTTTTATTATTATTGCAGTTTGGACAATTTTTTCACTTATTAAATCCAGAAACGAAAATGATTTTATGCATACAAGAAAAATATAAGGAAGAGTAAACAAAAGAACCTCGTCAGTCTTCTTTAACAATATTTATATTAAGAAGGGATTTCTGCTCACACACACACACGCAGATAGATAGATAGATAGATAGATAGATAGATAGATAGATAGATAGATAGATAGATAATGAACAGAGTAAAACTTTTGATAGAAAGAGGGGAACTGGAGTGACGGTTGAGGACACAGATAGATAGATAGATAGATAGATAGATAGATAGATAGATAGATAGATAGATATTAACAGACAGATAGATATGAACAGATATAGTTAGATAGATAATAAAAAGACTGAAATAATTGATAGAGAGAGGGGAAACGGTGGTACAATTGTGGACTTAGATAGATAGATAGATAGATATAGATAGATAGATAGATAGATAGATAGATAGATAGATAGATAGATAGATAGATAAACAAACTTTGTTTAATGTATATATTTATGCATAAGCCAATATTCATACATGGTGCAACCCCTGGATTTTAAGGCATGGATTTTAAATCCTCCATAAAAACTTACCTGTGTATTGTGCAAAATTGCATGATTTTTAACTTCTTCAAAAAATTACCTGTGTATAGTATCTATCTATCTATCTATCTATCTATCTATCTATGTCCACACACAAACACACATATATGTGTGTGAAGAGAAAGAGACTGACAGTGAGGAAATGATTAATTTATGATATAATATGTGTATTTGCATATGTGTGCACATATATTATCACCATACAGAAATAGTATATGTTTACTATTATTATTATTATTATTATTATTATTATTATTATTGATAAGTACCTTGTCCTCCTACAGTTGGACCAATGGATTTGTTATGTGATCAATGTCCCCTGAACAGTGATTGGAAATCAAATGTGATTGATTACCCAAAGGAGGGGATTGGGAGGGGAGAAAAGGTTAGAGTGGGGAGGGTTCAGGTGGGGAGACCCGGGTTTGTTGCTGGTTTCCACTGCTTATCCGAGGCTGATTGCTCCAAGTTGTCAGGATGATGGAATGCCAACATCCGGTTAAACAGGTGGAACAGCTTCGGGTAATCTGGGAAGAAGCCAAGGAAAGAAAAGAAAGGAAAATAAATACAAAAAAAAAAAGAAGGATTTTAAATTAATAAAGACAAAAAAATCTTTGGAAATTAACAGAAATAATACAAAACAACATAAAGTAAAACAGTTTATAAAGTAAATAAAAGAAAAAGCTAAAGAAATTTTTAAAAAAATTAATAAAAAGAACTAAATACAAAAAAATAAATGATTTTCAAGGCAAGTATATCACTAAAATGTTTGGCACAATACAATCTTTCTATTTACACTGACTATATTAGTCTTCTGTCTATATTTCTTAAATGAGGTATTGTAATTATATGAAGAAGGCCGGTGTGTACAACGGCAAAACATTGTAAATATGGCAACAAAGATGATCACAACAGTTTAAACAATGTAAATTGTGTAAATAAACATTAGTCTTTTCATGGATTACTGTATTTTCTTGAGTATAGTGTGAGATATTATGCTAGTGGATTTTACTATACACAGGTAGTTTTTTGAAGAGGTTAAAAATTATGCAGATAATTTTTTATGGTGGATTATGCAGGTAATTTTTTATGGAGGATTTAAAATTCATACCTTAAAATCCAGGGGTTGCACCATGTATGAATATTGGCTTATGCATAAATATATACATTAAACAAAGTTTATCTATCTATCTATCTATCTATCTATCTATCTATCTATGTCCACAATTGTAACTCCATTTCCTCTCTCACTATCAATTATTTCAGTCTGCTCATTATCCCTGTCTGTTCATATCTGTCTCTGTTAATATCTATCTATCTATCTATCTATCTATCTATCTATCTATCTATCTATCTATCTATCTATGTCTCTTCATATCTATCTATCTATCTATCTATCTATCTATCTATCTATCTATCTATCTATCTATCTACACAATTGTACCTCCATTTCCCCTCTCTCTATCAATTATTTCAGTCTGTTTATTATCTATCTATCTATATCTGTTCATATCTGTCTCTTATATTATCTATCTATCTATCTATCTATCTATCTATCTATCTATCTGTCTCTTCATATCTATCCACCTCTGTTAATATCTATATATCTATCTGTCTATCTACAAATTAAATCAGTCACTTCTTATCTATCTATCTATCTATCTATCTATCTATCTATCTGAATGCATGTATGTGTGGCTGAGTCATTAGAATATTTTCTTTCTGACCAAGAGACCTCTGTTCGAATCTCACCATGGTCGATTTGTGAGGGAAGCCACTTCTTGATGTTATCTGCCTGGAGAGACAATGCCAATTTGTAGCAACATCGGGAAGCATATTAAAAAAGTATATTAATTTATTTTCTTCCCCCACATATGGGTTAAATAGCAAGGTACACTAAGCTCTCTAATCTTGTTTTGGAGTCAGTATTACTCAAAGATATAAGACCATGAAGAAAACAATAAAAAACACTCCACTATCTTTCCCAAAAATAATTCTGTGGAGAGCCATAATCAACTATGTCTTAAAGTGAGAAGAAGAAAATAACCCATAAAATATATCTCAAGAGAAATGATCAGACTTTTTCATGTCTGGTAGATAAAAATTAAATAAATAGGTTCTTTTAAAGGAGAAGCCCAGCAGGAGAAATATGAATCTCTTTTCAGGGTGTATAATGAAATTTGTTTGACCTTGAAAAATATTGCATCATCCATGATTACATCAGATTTTTATCATGCTCAGACACTATTGTTTAAACTGTCAATTAGTTGTCCTACAGACATTGCCAGCAATGGACATTACTCCAAGAAAGCATACAAAGATTGTAACACTGCACAAAGTCACTGACAAGCCTTAACAATCAACAAATCAAAGTACTATAGATTGGCCCGAAAACTCTCCTGATTTAAATCCAATCGAAAATCTGTGGTCAACCTGCAAGGAACAACTTTGTGGAATGGACATACAAAGTACTAACATGTGCACTGGGGCATGTTTCATTGGAAAAATATGAAAAAATTAAATAAAAATGGAATTATTTGTTTTGTTTCAGTAAATTTGCAGAATGCTGTACATTGAGAATAATTCAATTAACTTGTGGAAGGTTGAAGCAGGCTGAATATTTGACCTTGTCACCCACAAAGAAAAAAGTTAAAGAAAGACAATCAAGTGCAAATGTAATATTTTTATATTCCAGAATTGTTGAGGTGTTTTACGAATAATGTTTTTGAGTTATGTTTCTTCGTTTGATGATAAAGTTTTTATGTGACTTGAAATAGATGTGACAAAGGAAAATTTTTTAGAAGGACTCAATTCAGACTTGATTATTTTAACTCAGATTTTTACTTGGATTTTAACTTTTGACTGAATATTTGATATGCTGTCACCTATTTATACTAAATGTACTGACCTACACTATAGTTCAAAAATTTGAAGACTTTCCCAGAATTAGCATGAGATGAACTTGAAAGAAGAGTAAAAAAAAAATATATGAAAAAGAGTCATTGAAAAAAGAATGGAATCCATTAGCAAACGTATAATTTGAGAAACTTTTACAATGAATGTCAATGATTTGTGCTGCAGTAATCAAAGCAAAAGGAGGATATTTTGACAAGAGCAAAATTTAATAATAAAATGCTTTTTTTTCTTTTTGTCATCATTAAATTACTAATAAAAAAAATCATTTCTCTTTTTTTTTTAACCATGTTTAATACTTTTCTCTTATTTAAAGTACAAAACAACTACTTTTGGGGCCAATTTTTTAAATTACCAAAGGTTACCTTAAACATTTAATCTGTAGTGTAGGTGTAGAAACCCTACTCTGAACCAATATTTCAAAGAAATATGTAAAGTTCTTTTTTAAAAATAATTGAAGAATATAACATTTCTAATAACTTAATCACTAGAAGGAAAAATGCAGATTAATAATTTGATATATCTTTTAAATAGTATGTAAATTTTATCTTTCTTCATAAATTATATGTCAATTAGATTTTATTTTAAGTTGGTATCTACTCAGTAGGAATATAATTTTGATTTAATAAATTTTAATTAAAAAGGGTTTTTTGATTAACTGATTAATTAATAGAATATGTTTTAATAATGAGTCTGCTGTAATTTGAATCTAGATAATTTCTTCATTTTACCAAGTCTTAATTTATGTGGATGTTTAAGATTTTTACTTCATCCTTCAACATTCGCCCTTGCATGGAGTATTGCTGCCATATATGGTCTGGAGCCCCTTCTAATTGTCTCAAAGTCCTTGATAAAATCCAAAGACGAATATGCAATTTAATTGGCCCTGATCTGGCACCTCATCTGCAGCTGCTCTCTCACAGACGTGCCGTTGCCTCCTTCTGTCTTTTTTACAAATACTTTCATAGTAACTGCACTGATGAGCTGCTTTTGTTGGTTCCCAGACTTCATGAATTTAAGAGTTCTGCTAGGCTGGCATCTCACTCACACCCTTTCACTGTTGAAACTTTTAAATGTAGCTGTCTCTTCTACTCCAGTAGCTTCATGTCTCGCACTTCTCACCTGTGGAACTCCCTCCTCATTTCTTGTTTTCCTGATAGCTATAATTTCCCACTATTCAAATGTAATGTCAATCGACATCTCCAGATGCCTTGATCTATCCCCTAACCTTCTCGTCACCCTTTCCTCTATCACTTCTCTTTATTCTTGCTCCAACTCTCTGTAACCCCTTGCATGCTAGTGGCTTCTCACCTTGCTTGGGGTTGAATGCTTTAAAAAAAAAACCCCAAAAACAAACACTATAAGCTTTTTATTTTATATTTGTTATATGTGTATATATGTATGTACATGTTCAGACTCCATTTATATTTCTTTTTAGAGGCTGAGAGCTTTTAAATCCAAAATAAAATCAGACAGTCCATTATTCTTCCTCTCTTATGTGCTTCTCTACCATGGAAAACAGATTCCATGAAACTGATTTTGAAATTTACAAAATTAAGTGCACAAGCATTATTTCCTGTGTGGCACATGTGTATATCCCACAAAGTAATCTACTACACTCTACCAGCCTAGAAAATCATGCAAAATATGCAGAATACCTCATCACAAAAGGTGGAACCAAGGCTTAAATAGCTGAGTCTTAAATCTAATGGTCACAATCTCTAATGAATTAAGATTAAAAGTGGCTAACCAATAAAAAGTTAATTTATCTCAAACAATCAAATTTTATTGTGTCAGAGAATCTATAATTTGCATAATTTCCTTTTATAGAATTCTGGAATTGGTTTGAAGGACAAATTTTGGGTTACATTTTTTAAGTAATTTTATTTAATTATTCTGTAATTTTTCATTTTGTTTACTAAATATGATTATGCAGTGTCTGTTGATCATGGCAACAGCAAATGATGACATCATCAAGACTGATAGCCAATCAGACTTGAAGACATACAAAAGACTTTATTTAATGAAGATGATAGCATCTTGATAAAAATGATAGCAAAAATATCTCCATTTTGAAGTTATGTAAGTTTTTTTCATTTCTTTTTTGTAAATGGATACATAAAATTTCTAAAAATATTTTCCAGCAACTTTTATATTTATTAGTTTTGTCTTTTTTCCTTTATCTTTCTTCTTTTTTCTTTACTAAATTTTTCTTGAATTTTTATTGTTATATTCAGTTTTCCTTTTGACATTTTTTACCTTCTCAACACTCTTTTCTTCTTTCTTTATTTTTTTCTTTTCTTCTTCTTTTTTTAATTTGTTTCTTTACATTCTTTTTTTCTTTTGCTTTTGTTCCATTCCTTTTTCTTTTCTTTCTTTTGCTTTTTATTCTTTTCCTTCTTTCCTTTATTTAATTTTACATTTTATGCTTTTCCTTCTTTTTCTTTCTTTCTTTTGATTTTGTTCATTTCTTTTTTCTTTCTTTCCTTTAGCCTTCCTTCATTCTTTCTTTGTTTTTCATTCTTTTCTTTGTTTCTTTCTTTCATTCTTTCTTTTTCTTTCTTTCTTTCTTTCTTTCTTTCTTTCTTTCTTCTGTTTTTCTTTCTTTCTTTCTTTCTTCTGTTTTTCTTTCTTTCTTTCTTTCTTTCTAGGTTTTGCTTTTCTTTCTTTCTTTCTTTCTTTCTTTCTTTCTTCTGTTTTTCTTTCTTTCTTTCTTTCTTTCTTTCTTCTTTTTTTCTTTCTTTCTTTCTTTCTTCTGTTTTTCTTTCTTTCTTTCTTTCTAGGTTTTGCTTTTCTTTCTTTCTTTCTTTCTTTCTTCTGTTTTTCTTTCTTTCTTTCTTTCTTCTGTTTTTCTTTCTTTCTTTCTTTCTTTCTTCTGTTTTTCTTTCTTTCTTTCTTTCTTCTGTTTTTCTTTCTTTCTTTCTTTCTTTCTAGGTTTTGCTTTTCTTTCTTTGCTTTTGTTCATTTCTTTTCTTTACTCTTTTTTTGATTTCATTCTTTTTCTTTTCTTCTTTCTTTTGCTTTTCATTCTTTTTCCTTCCGTTTTTATCCCTTTTTCCTTTATTCCTTTTGCTTTTATTCTTTTTTCTTCCTTCTTTTCTTTCTTTAATTTTGTTTGCTTGTTTGTTTTTTGTTTTTTTTTGTTTTAAAATGAATCTGATTGCGATACCTCTGTATGTGTGTGGGTCATGAAGGCTACCTTTTTGTTTTCCTAGTGTATTCTTGATAAACTCTACAGTTTTGGGATATCCTTCAGATTCCAGACTTCTTTTATGAAACTTAGAAACTTGTTATTTAATTCGGGGAGAACGTAACCTATTTTCAGAAGTTCAGTCACAATGTCAAGTGATGGTTTATTATTCCTTACATTTTATAACTTTCTTAACTGCCTCATCACTAGGTTCATTATAGTTTATGTTTAGAAACAAACTTTGTAATAATTGGATGTATATTGGTATTAATAAGTCACCACATATCAACTTTTCTTAGGTCAAGATTCCTGATGGACATTACATTCGATTCAAACCTTTAGCATTTCCTGGCATAAATTGCATACTACAGACATAACAAAAATGAAGATCAGAAAAATAGTGAGAAAAGAATCAATGTCTTTTCACAGAGAATAAGTTATTTTCCGATATTCTCAAAGATTTTCTTATCCAAGGAATTTTCCTTTTCATTTTATTTTTCAAATAACTTTTTAAATGTGGCTCTCTGTAATGACAAAAGTACGCAGGTGTAAACTTTAAGAAAGCTTTATTCAACTGAGAATACAAGGTTAGTGTATATTGTCCTTTTATAGTCCCAGTAAACAGAAATAGCTCTCTCCAGGAGGAGAGTAACAAAACAAGGGGAGACCACTATGATTGTTCATAACACTTTCATATTTTATAATAATATATTTGTTTTAAGTTTTGGGGTCGACAAGGTTTTGTCATTGTTTTTTTCTTCCTTTTCCCTTCCTTTCTGTATTTCTTTTGCTTTTATTTCTTTTTCTTTCCTTCCTTCTTTTCTTTAATTTTGTTTGTTACTTTCTTTTGCTTTTCCTTCTTTCTTCTTTCTTTTGATTTTGTTAATTTCTTTTTTTCTTTCATTCTCTCCTTTAGTTTTTCTTTCATTCTTTCTTTTCTTTTCTTTCTTTTGCTTTTCATTCTTTTCTCTTCCTTTCTTTATTCCTTTTATTTCCTTCTTTTCTTTGTTTCTTTAAGTTTTCTTTCTTTCTTTTATTTCTTTCTTTTTTTTCTTTAATTTTGTTTGTGTCTGTATTTTGCTTTTCTTTATTTCTTTCACTTTGGATTCAGATTGGGTGACATCACAGCTTTCGTCCCAATTCCGCATCATAATACCTGTTTTCAAAAGCTCCATCTTCAGTCATACTTCTTGGAATATTTACTTTTGTTCAAAAAAATCTTTAAAAAAAACATGTTGAAAATCTTATTCAAAAGTAAAAGAAAATAAGAAAGAAATATGAAAAGTGTATTTTTTTTTTATTAAAATAATTTATAATGGTAGAAAGTTATAGTAATCTCAAATTGAAATAGAGTTGATGTTTTTTGGAACTAAATACAAAAAAATAAATAATTTGTTTCATGTGGATTTATTGGTAACTTAGTATCTTATTTATTGGTAACTTATATCTTATTTTTTAGTCAGTTTATTATACTTTAAAGTATTTTTATATTTAAAAAAAAAGAATTTTGTTTCTTGTTCATGACTTATTTTAGAATTCCCCAGTTTATTTTTTCCCAGAAATTTGTACATAATTCTTGCTTTCTTTAAAAGAATTTTTTGGCAAGGCTTTTTTTTTTTTTTTTTTCAAATTCTTCTTTTGAATTGATTTAAGTCGTTTGATTCTTTCAGTTTTATTTTTGTTTCTTTTTTTTAATATCTTTTCACTCATCAAACTCATTTCCTTCTTTTCTGAGGCCTTTTTTCTGCATGGGCAGTGGTTAATGATTAACAAAGATTTTGATAAAATAAAATCAAATGGCAAAAAGGAGAAGTTAATAGGCAAAAAATTAATGTTTAGTAGCAAAATAAATTTCAAAGATAAAAACGAAGAAAGAAAATGAAAGCAAAATAATTTAAAACTTAACAAAGCGTGGAACACGACCCACAGACAAAAAATTGTCTTAATAAGTTGCCCCAAGCTTGGAATGTATTTGACCAGAATAGGCAATGGAGTAGATATCGCTGGTCATCGCAGCCAAATCAGGGAAACTTTGCTTTTAAGTTTACATTTATTTCTACTTTTTCTTTACATCTTCGAGAATTTCTAAAATAGTTCATATGGACATAAAGAGAAAGATTTTAAATGAAAAAAAAATTGAAAGAAAATTTCTTAATGTTTTGTTATCAAGTTAACTTTTTTTTTCCGCAGCAGGATATTAAATAACAAATTTGGACAGTAAACAGCAATCAGTGTAAAAAAGTGGAAAAAACAAATAAGATATTTGTATACATACATATATATGTATCTATATGTATGCATGTGTTTGTATGAATATGTGTGTGTGTATGCACATAAAGGGTTTGTATGTATAAAGTATGTGTGTGTGTGCATATATGCACAAAAGAATATATTTCAATGAATATGAAGACATATATACATAATCATGTATAATGTGTGTGTTAGTATGTTTATTTTTGTGCACATATAAATAAATATATGTACACACACATATATATATATATGTATGAATAAAGACAAAAGGAAAACTTATGTATATATATATATATATATATATATATATATATATATATATATATATATATATATATATACATATATTGTATATATATTTAAGCATAGTTAAGTACAGACATATACGTGTGTGTGTGTGTTTCTACATACATATAAGAAAAATTATTTTTCTATGCCTATACTTTGTATTTAGATAATTTTATATTTCGCAACTTGAAATCATCATTATGCACACAGACACACATACACTCACATGTGCACACACAGTACTTTTCATAGATGGATAAATACACAGACTGATAGATAAATAAACAGTGTTGTATCATTGATTGTACCAATTGATTATATATATATATATATCATGGACTCTTCAATCATTGATCAATGTGGGACCCTTTTTACGATGTCAGGCAACTCAATTCCTTTGAACTAATAGCCAGACAACCTGCACATATTTGATTATAGTAGCAAAGGCTTTGTGCAGAAACAACCATGCTTTTTGAAGCACTGAATGCAGAGACCTTGTGCACTATGTGCAACAAGTTACCCAAATAACCCTCCGCAGATTTTGAATTCAGAGTTGTCCTTCTTGTAGACCAGTTGTCATCGAAGTCTATAGAACCCAATTTATCCTGCTATTTTACCCATAGCTGGAGGGAGAAAAAGAGGATTCATACCTTTCCCATGGGTATTAGCACTTAAGTGAATGTAATGGATTCAACTGGAATTCGAACTCAGCCCTCTGATTCTTGAATCCGAGCCACTATCCATTAGTTCACTGTGCCTCCATACACACACACACACACACACACACACACACACACACACACATATATATATATATATATATATATATATATATAGTAGTATATACAAAAGTGTGTTAAAAATTTGTATGTGCATCTATTTAGGCAGCATTTTTTTCATTGATGCATGTTTCGTTAAATAATATAGACAAGTGTTGTTTATTTATTTTATGTAATTTCTTTTCATATCATCTGATAAGCTTAATAACATTATCATTAAACGAAGAAAATCACAATCAAGTCATGAGCTGCGGTGCGATTTTTGCTTCCAGCATCTTATATGCATGAGTTTGTCGTTGCTTGGAAATCTTCCATGTAAACAGAAACAGACTATTGTCACTGTCTTGTCGATGTATTGTTTAATATATTGTACTGTAATAATAGCTTATGTAAGCCAAAAGCTTAGATAGGATTAAAAAATATGTATCAATATTGTGATTTTCTTTCTTCATTTAATGATAATGTTATTAAGCTTATCAGACGAAATGAAAAGAATTTACATAAAATAAATAGACAACACTTGTCTATATTATCTAATGAAACATGCATATATATATATATATATATATATATATATATATATATATATATATATATATATATATATATATATATATGGGGAGGCATGGTGGAGTAATGGATAGCGGCTTGGATTGAGGAATTGCAGAGCTGAGTTCTGAATTCCAGCCAAATCCATTACATTCACTTACGTGCTAATACCCATGGGAAAGATATGAATCCTCTTCTTCTCCCTCCAGCTATGGGTAAAATAGCAGGACAGACTGGGTTCTATAGCCTTGGATGGCAACTGGTCTAGGAGAAGGACAACTCTGAATTCAAAACCTCCGGAGGCTCTGTTTGTGCACCAGGTCTCTGTATTCGGGCCCTTCAAAAAGTGTGGCTGGTCCTGCACGAAACCTTCACCACTATAATCAAATCTCTTGTGCTGTTGTCGAGCTGTCGGTTTTGCTGGGAACTGATCTGCTTGACCCTCATACATCAAATTCGATGGGAGATTCGACTATATATATATATATATATATATATATATATATATATATATGTGTGTGTATGTATATACACACACCACACACACACACACACACACACACACACACACCTTATATAAGATGAAAGAAATACTAGCCAAAAAACTAAAAATAACTGACAATGTTTCAATTTCTTAACTATTACATCTAATATTATTTCGTTTATATCTCTGAGATGAGGTATTATGATTATTTATTTTCATTATTCCAACTGTTATCCTCATCTTCCTTGCCATGTTCACAACATTTTGGTTGTTGTATGCTCCTTTCTTCTTCAGGTTATTGGAATTTCGAACCTTTATTTCATCCACCAGGATAGATTGTTCTAGTTCCACGTGCCATGCCTCTTCCTGGTGTCTCAGTTATTTCCCTTTAGCCTGGTACTGAACTCACTACTCTTTGGGTCTAGTCACTGGATCTAACCAATGCCTTTATCCACTGGGACATGTGTCCTTGAGGCATGGAACTAGAACAATCTACCCCAGTGGACAAAATAAAGCGTTCGGTTCGAAATTCCAATCACGTGAATAAGGACTGAGTGTACAACAGTCTAAACATTGTGAATATGGTAATGAAGATGAGGATAACAGTTTGAATAATGTAAATAATGTAATATAATTTTAGTAATAAAAAGCAACTGAAATTAAGATGTAAAAATACTAATCAAAATGAACAATCGATAATACTTATCTTTCAAGAGATTCATTTTACTTTCTTTCTCTCCTTTCTTTTTTTTTCTTTCCTATCATTTTGTTATTTTTTCCTTGTTTTTTTTCTTTCTTTAATTGTCTTTATTTCTTCCTTCTTTCCTTCTGCTGCATCTTTCCATTTCTTTCTCTTCCTTTTTCATTCATTTCCTACATTTGTTTATTTTCTTCTGCCAACTATTCAAGCTTTCTTCTTTCTTACTTTCTTTCTTCTTTTACATCCCATTTTGAAGAATTCCTTCTTTCACGCATTTTGAAATATTTCCCTCCAAATATCATTCACTCTATTTTTTCCTTCATTTTTTTCCTTTCCTGTGTTTTTTTTTAAAGTTAATTCTTATTTCTCCTTCCACTAAACTTTCAATTTCACTTTTCTGCTTTATGTTCAATATTTCTTTAAAGTTTTTTTTTTTCACCTTTTAAATAATATTCTTAATTTCTCTTTCCTTGCATCCTGGGTATGAAGATAAACTACTTCTGAGTCCTGGTTAAGACGATAACTACATTCAATAGCAAAGCCTCTGATCAGGAGGTTTTGAAGAGCAAGGAACCACCTCTTACTGGTTTTCTCAGGTCCACCCTGACCAGGGGTGGTAGCACCTGTCAGGATCTCAGCTATGGGCAAATAGTCGACCCCCCAAAAAAAAACAAACTGGGATCAAAACACTATGAAAGCGTAAAAATAGGTTTTAATACCAGCAATGGTTTTTTGTAAAAATTATTACTAGCGATGAATTTTTGAAGGAAAAGTTATTACCAGCAATACATTATTATTAGCAATACATTTTTGAAAAAAATATTACCTGCAATACATTTTTGGAAAAAAAAAATATTAGCAGCAGTATATTTTTGAAAAAAAAAAAAAAAAATTACCGGCAATACTTTTTGTAAAAAAATATTACCAGCAAAACATTTTTGAAAAATATTACCAGCTATAAAAATCTTATCAGCATGGAATAACCCATTGAGGTTGATAAGCCAT